CCCCCCCCCCTGGTGATGACCAGCTTAACATAATCATGGCATGTGCTTGGTCTTTCATGTGTTTGGGGTGACCTCTGCAGTCAGGCACGCCCCTTGAGTACGGTGCTCGGTAACAGTGCGTGTGCACACAGGCGTGAACTCTTACGCCCAGACCATGATGTGAGATTCAGTCCCTTGTAGATCAGAGTTTTATTTTAGAATAGAAAATTGATTTTCCTCAGGTGTGATACAGCTTCAATCCATGACTATTTTTTCCTAACTTTGTATTGAATCTAGCTGTTTACTGGCCTACATCCTTCTGTGTGTTTTCTATTTCTGTTTCTTTTCTTTAATGATGATGTCTTATTTCAAGCGCGGTCCTCCAAAGTCCCCCTAAAGCTGCATCTCCAACACACTGTTATGCCAATAAGGTTTTATTTAACTTTATTTAAGGATGATTGTGTCTGTTAAATGCCAATGTACTGCTGCTTCCTACCTGTAAGACGCACAATGTACAAGGGTGAGCAAGTGTTTCTTAATGGCCTGGGGCAAATAGCACAGTTGCTGCCTCCAGTTGTTGCCAGCTCTTTGGAACAGGGACAAATGTGTGTTTATGTGTGGGGATATCTCAGATTTGCTGCTACAGTTGTGACACTGGAGCTAGAGAAAATAAAGCCTTGATCTTTGAAGTGTTGTGGGCTCTGTGGTGGGAATATTGAAAAAAAGAGGAGAGTGGATGGGGAGGAGTCTAATCCGTGGGGCTGGTGCCTAGTCTAGCCTCGCTCATGAAGAACCAGATCCATGACTGTGGTAGAAAGTGCCATGTCAGCTCTCAGAGGTGGAAGCAGATCCCCATGTCGGGCAGCCCGGGGACGGTCACATTATCATGCCCGGGCAAGGGCCAAGAGCCGCCTCTGGCTTTGCTCTCCACGACAGGGAGGGTGGCAGTTTTCCTTCCTAGTGCGGGAGCGTGAGTGTGACAGGCTGCGAGTGTATGGTGTGCACAGCCCTGGTACCTGGGATGTGCCTGTTTCTCTCTCTCTCTCTTTCACACACACACACACACACACCCCTCTTTGCAGAGGTTCAATCAGGGCCCCTCTTTATGGAAGGCCCAAGAGTGACCAGAATCCTCACATAGTTCCTAGATAACTAAACCTTTTCTGGAGATAGGAGAGGGGTGGAGGGAGGTCTTAGACCCCTTTGAAAAGCCAGGGACAAGTCTCGACTCTTCACTTAGCGTGGAGGTCAGAGAACCTACCTGCCGCATCACCACCGAAGGCCTCAGTGAGGGCGGAGAGTCAAACTCGAGGCCAGGCCTGAGAACAAGCCATCAGCAAGGGTGGGGAAGAGGGATCAGAGAGTGCAGAAGGCTTGAGGTAAGCTTGCCGCGGTGTCATTTTACCAAAGGCCAGTCCTGCGCTGCGCAAAGCTGACCCGTGGCTTCTGGTGGCTTCCACTCCTCTGGGGTGGGTGGCAGGTATGCAAGGGCCTGTTTTCAGTGCATACATACCCTCCCTGCCCCGCAGGCTGGAGTGCATCCCGTGAGCAGAGCACCGTGCCTAGTGTGGGGTGGGGGGCCGCGGGGGATGGGTAGACAGCCCGGTATAAGCTGCGGTTCCCGCCCTGCCCGGCCTTAACAGCCCACCAGGGGAATAGAAGAGAAGACGTGGAAGTAAAACAGTGACCTAATCCGTTAGACCAAACTCCACGACCATGACTGACTTGGCCCTCTTCCTCCCGGCCCCGGCCCCAGCCATGGTGTGCCAGAGCCGGCCCCGCGTCCCGCTCCCTGGAGCGGGCTGTGTGCATGGCTTCCCGGCTCCGTGTTCGGGACCGTGAGCTGGAAATCAGCAATGGTAGGAATCTTTGTACCACGGAAACAGGCAACTGCTGCAAGTCAGGGCTCTGTCTTACCAGCTTTTCAGCCCACCACTGCCGACACACAGCCCGGGACTTGGTGCATGGCAGGTGTCCGGAACATGTGTAGTGAGAGAAGGGGGTGAGAGAAACTGGTCGTCTTCAACCTGCGCCCCTTCAGGTGAGTGCTGGCCCTCCCAGTTCCTCCTCGGGCAGAGGCCGTCTTCATCACTGACGACCCTCTCCGGCACATCCACACTCAGATTCCAGCCCTAGGAAAGCCATGAAGCACAGGGGCTCCCTTTCCTGCAGGGCCGAGCTCTCCTTTCTGAGTTCCCGGGAGGGACTTCAGTCCTGTCTCAAGAGCGGCCTTCAGGAACAGACATCTCAGAGAAGAATGTAACAAGCCCAGAGTTGGACAAGAGGGAGAGCCCAGCACCGGGAGGGAGTGCGGGTGGGCTAGTACAGCTCACAGCGGAGTAAAGCGTTGTCTTTGGTCTGAGGCAGAATGCAGGGGTGGGCCTAGGAGTAATGAGTGCAACTAGGGAGAACAGCTCAGTTTGCCGCCGGCTGAGCTTTGTAGGAGGTGCCCCAGGGGTAAGCTGCAAATCAGAGCTTTGCCATCAGGAGGAGCGGTACCTTTAGTCAGTAGGTAGGAGGGGAGCCATTAAGGGTCTTGGAGCAGAGGACACCCTGAGCTCACTTTAGGAAGCTTCGTCTGGCAGAAGTGGACAGGATGGAGTGGAGAAGGAATACCGCGGGGGCAGGAGATGGTCGCTTTGGTGCCACATGAAACTGCCCGGAAGAGGGATAATGAGGGGGATGGGAAGGGTGGCCGGAACAGAGTGCATGCAGCTGATGAGAGTCTAACAGTGGCATTGACAGGGCTCGGCGGTGCATGACTGTAGGGCAAGATGAGAGCAGGGGCGGTGTCAAGGGGGAGACCTGGCTGGGAGAAATAGCAGCTGGCGGCAGAGGAGGTACCTTGTCTCTACATCCACCCATCCAGCTAGTCCTGATTCTCCTTGGGCATGAACAACACCAGAGCTTTGAGCTCTTGGCTTAGAGCTGCCTCCTTAGCTCCCCTCTTTTGGCTTCCATTTCCCTGTCCTCCTCCAGGCTGCCCACCTTGACTACCATCCCTGGCTCCCCCCACCAGCTTCAGTTCCTTTCTGGGTCACCTAGGGCTGGCTGCTTGGGAAGCTTCTGCCTTTGGACCTCCTGTCTCTCCACCCCTTTTTGGTGCTGGTCG